TCTTAAGCCCCCCTTTGATCAAAGAGCGGCGAAGATGGCCGAGAGAGGTCGATATCTTTATCGAAGATCCAAGATGGGCAGGCCGGCAAGATTCGGAGGCAGGGACGAGGTCGCACGACGAAATCGCGGCTTATCCTCGAGAGATCCTCTCCATCGCGTGGTTCTCCTGATAATTTCACGTTTCCTCATACCGTGATCCGAGAGGTACGGTTCACGAGCGCCGAGGAGCAGGCGGTGGATTCAGAGCGTGTCAATGGCCGCGCGGTCCTTCTCGCTCCCCCGGCGCTCGGCATCGCTCCGTCTCTCTCGCACTCGTTGGTTACGCGGGCACTTGAAAAACACTCCGAACGAGGACCACCTGTGGTTCAGTCGACGACTCGCGAAGATGTTCCGGACTGTTACCAACAGGTCCTAGTAGGCTAGGAGTCGTTATGGCATCGCTCGCTTGACTAGTTCGCGGTTGAACTGTACTTTGTCAAACGGATGGCTGGTGTTCATGGAGGGAGATGACGTATCGTGCACCGAAACCATTAGGAAACCGAAGCTGCAATCGAAGCCGCATTCCTTGCGGTTGGACCCCGAACCGAACGATGCTGGTGCACTTTGCCAAATGCGACCCTCGTCTCCTCAATGATACATTCCATTGACGTAAAATTAGCGCCCAGGTGAACGTTTGACCGCGGAATGTCGAATCTCCTGGTGGGTCGCCGCGGATCCTGCCGTCCCCGGCATTAATTTCTGCGTTTAGTCCCGACTTCACACATCAAACGGAACGGCGCGGTTAATTTCGCACCAGGGCCGAATGAAAGGTATTAGATATTACACCGATAAATCAAGAAGAAACGAGCCGCCTCTATTATACACGTAATATGTCCCAATTATCACGCATCAATGAGTGCTTCTATTTTCTTGAAATAACGGTTTTCCTGCAGTTAATACCTCTATTTACGGTTATCGTGCACTTACGGCTTACGTACAGACGTTCGCACTTTATAAATCCCTGTTTTACGAATCTTTTCGGTCGAAATTATTATTTTAAATCGTGCGTCGCGAACTTTGCGAATTCTCGATTTGTGAATGGTCGCCACGGGCCAATTAATTCTTCAAGACGGAGTTAGCTGTAAGTAGACATTTTGCATATAATATGCATCATAAAATGTACGTAGAACTTCTTCTATCTGTTCTAGGCAAACTGCACAGTAGGATACGTAGAACCAAATTATTCGCCCTACCACTGATACTAGCCGATGTATTATTACTTAATTCCGCATTTCGGTATCTCTCGATAATAAAAGCCTTCCCCGAGCGAGAAAATGTTATTAAAAACGGGGACATACAACTGAGAGATTCCAAGACAGGTTAGTTTGTCCCCACCGTGCAACCCTTAGGGGGTCAAGGAACGTAAAAGCGGCGTTAACTTTCCCTTCTAGCAGTCGCAGAAGAGGAAGTCTTTCTCTCGGGGAGAAATTCCGCGGGAAAAGTGGCGGATCAACAGACGGCGCGGCATCGGCGTCGCGTCCTCGAGGCAAGTATCGGGCTGCTTATTTATAAATTCAGGTGGAAAGTCGTTAAGTGGAGTGGCCTGGCCGGGGATGAGTCAACGGGATAAGGTGACGTCGCGAAATAGAAATAGATCTCGAGAAGGTCCGCGGGGAGCCTCGGCCGAAAGAGGGCGTCGGCGTCGCTTTCGGCGAACGCCCTCGGGTTTCCGCCGAAGGGCCGCCATCTTGGCGTCGGCGAGCACCTCTTCGGAGGACACCCTGTGGTCTCGGGCGGGCCCAGCACCTGCGTGAAAAAGAGGGTCGACCTGCAGGTATCGGGCAGCAGGGCGTTCCCTATTTTTCCTTTCCTTTTTCCTTTCGTTTACTTTGGCTCGGCTCAGTTTACTTTGGTCGGAGGAAACGAATTTCCTGCGCGACCCCGCGCGAGACGCGGAGGTATTGTTGGAGACGCGTCGCGACGCCTTGCGACGCCGTAAGCGCCTCTCGTACGTGTCGTAAGAACGGTGTAACCCGCGTGTCGTGCGTGAGCTCCAGGCAAAACACGTCGATTCGCCTTTCGCCCGAGTTTAATTATAGACCGCCCCCTGAGCCGAGAGCAAGGAAAGTCTCGCCCCCGTCCGAGAGTCCCATCGCCGAATTCGAGAGATGAAGAGCCAGCCTGACCCCGGGAATCCAGGAAGAGGTGTTCGCGCCTCAAACATCTAACCAAACTCGTCGTGTGTCTTTCAAATGATGTCCCCACTGCCCCTTTGCGTTTAAATCGTCTCACCTTACGTTCTGGTGATCGAATAACTTCTTATTGAATTTCTATCATATTTATGCCAAAGAAATTCATTCGGACTGCGGGAATTCAGAAAATTATAGAACAAACGCGAACGCCGTCGACCGTAATTTCTGTCGACGTCCCGGAAGAAGACATTGTACCAAAATGGCGGAATATTGGACCAGAAGGATTAGTATATTAGAATGTTCTATCCGTGATGCATTGACGTTTGGTCAGAAGTTTTTTTTTTCAGGAACTTCGTAAATTGTAGGACAAACGTGAACGCCGTCGACCGTAATTCCTGTCTGTCTATTTCACGGAAGAAGATACTGTACCAAAATGGCGGCATACTGTAGTAGGAGGGAGAGTGGTCACGTTGGGAGGGGCTCGTCGAAATGCGAGAAGCTCGCAAGTTCATACCTCCCATTCCCATTATCTGGGACGTTGTAGAGCGATTTCCCTGGCGAGATTTCAGGGAGACTTCCAATGGGGCCGACGGAGACGTTGGATTATGCAAATTTGAGATGTTAGGAGGCGCCAACGTTTACCGCCAGAGATGACGCGGCGCGTCCCGAAATCAAGATGGATCGCTAGGAATGGATGCTAGTGATCTATGTAGATCTTAAAGAACCCAGGCATCGAATATGAGATTCTTATGTCCGCCCATGATCATATCCATCTTCCGAGATCAACCCTCAACCCTATAAAAGCTAGTTTCTTGGAATTTTCTTTCTGTGCAATTTTTTTATTTCAGTAACAAATTCTAGAGCGATTGCAAATCTTGTACCAGAGAAAGACCCATAATGATAGATCGTAGATAAGTTTCGTACACTATGTAAAAGTATTCCAACAGTTGGTTCAGAAATCTCGGCAAGTGTTGCGACACACATTGAAATATTTACAGGACTGTAGAGTGACTTTTTCTGTCTACACCGAGCGTTTTCTTCACACTTTGAGCACGAGTAGGAGATCCCATCTGGAGATAATTACTAAACCATGTTCTTTCCACCCTGTATACTATATATTATTCACAGGCTTGACTGCACGCTGGATATCTTTATCAATATTAAAAATATCTCGTTTAATATATTTCTAACAATAAATGAATTAGATGTACTCCATTTTAAATATCATTTTGTCTGGGTAAAATTTATCCAAGCAGTCGATTTACTTCCGAGATTTTCTCCCTCCAAATGTAAGGGATTCCCTCGCCACAGTTGAAAGAATTAAATCCTAGCTTAAACGGAAGAGGGATCTGAGTCGATTCGATCACGCAGCTGTTCATACGAGCGTCGCGGTTATAGGATTCTATTTTTATTTAGAAGAGAGAAACTCATTAAAAGGCCGCCAACCCTCCGAACTTACCAAACTTCCAGCTGAACCGAGTAGGAAACACAACACAGAAAGTGCCCATTAAAAAATCTATCCCCCCTCTTAAAAAATATCAATATTAACACATTTTATGCCGACGACATAAACGTATCTTCTCCTTTATACTTTTATTATTAAGTGTTTTTAGTTGGACTAATTTTTTTAAACTGTAATTCAAACAGAAATATAAAAATTGACGGCTAGCAAATTTCCTATGCAGAATATGATACGCAAAATATGTTAATACCGATACGCCTCGCTTAACTTTATTTAAAAAATGTAGACACGTCCATCGCTTCTATTTATGCCAAATTAAATTTTGGGCGCTCAAAGACCTACCCAAAGTTATCGAAAAAATTCCAACTGAAAAGAGATAAGTCCCGATCGCTCAATAAAAGCAGAAACATATATCGGTCCTGTACGGCAGCATTTTTTTTGTGCTTCATTTTTGAATATTGATGGGATATCGGTTGAGTGGACCGGAGGAGCCTGTTTGCCAACACGTCAGAAAATAAAGACACAGCCGTCCGATTTAATCGTCAAATCAGATTCCAGCCATCCGACGAGCCGAATCATTTCTCCCCCACCGAGTCGGTCGTCCGCAACACTTTGACAGCCCACTCGACAAATTATGTCGCCTCTCGCGAATTATCCAATTTGCCCACTTGAATCATTTCCTAGTCATCGAATCATTCCACGCGCTCGAACCGCATGACTCTCGATTTGATACTCGAGCATAACAGGATTATGTCATCCAAACGTTCCCCGCGAATCTGCAGTTCCATATGTCATATTATACTACATGACTCGTTGTAATGTTTTCCTATTTAAATGATGAATTCTCCTTTATTTGCGCTTCTGTTGTATTCGTTTAAGCATCTCGCGTACTGGGACGAGGTGACACTGGGATGTCACTAGATTGTGACAACGGCAAACTTTGAATACATAAGCGCAAAGGGAAGGGATGACAAAAGGAGGAGCCTGTAAACTCCCCTGTACTTTGTATGCATGGTTTTCTGTAATGCTTGTAGCATACCCTATTGTTGGTTCAGAATTTTCATGAAAAGCATGAATTTAAATTGTAAGTGTAGGTGATCTCAATAGAGCTTGGTATATCGAAACGAAATAAAACACGTTTAAAAAAGAGGAAGACCAATTCTTCTCCATCAAAGAAACTCTTAAAGTGCATTCTGAGTTAAAACTCATAGGACATTTTTGGATATAAATATATCAGGGATAACTTTTAAAATTCTTAACAGTAAGTCGATTCAAGTACCGAGTTGTCACGTAGACTCACGACAGATAAGTGACGCCGGAAGAAAATCTGCGTCATACTTTTAACTTATTATTGGCCATCGACTCACCATTTGTTGGACGCTCTTCGGCTTCCGGTTGACGTCGATCACCTTCTGATTGGCTGAAAGTGGAAAGGTGCATCACGTCAGTAAAGGACACCACTAGGGAACGCATTTCGTTTAACGGGCGTGCAAGAAAGAAAGAAAAGCACAAGACGGAACAAATCTCCTCGGCAAGCGGAGAGTCGTAAAAGAAACGAAGCATGAGGCTCGGTGCAGTACTTGCAACGCGGCGGTAAGTGTCGCAATTGCAGCGACAAGAGTTCCTTTCCACGAAGAAACTGGCGAGATCAAACTTTTTCCTCGATTAGGTCTCTACATCAAATTGGTCCAAGTTTTTAGAGAGTTTCAGAATTGTAAGTTAAAATGCAATATCCCCTTATCAGCAAATTTCACGATAGATAATGAAATCCCAATAATAAGCAAATCAATGACTCCTATAATGCATTCTTTACTACGGTTAGCCAAATCTATTTAATGCAATTATGTATAGTACAGATTGACTGACTCCCTGAATAGCTCGCTGTCTATTTTAAAGTAACTAATGTAGTATAATTTTTTTTTTTCTTGTAATCTAATTTTCTCAAGTAATTATGTTTCCACCTGTAATTCTAAAACACTGTGTAGAATTCTTTATGCTTGTTCGTATCAGGGTCCACATCCTCAGGTTACGCGCAGGTGTCGGCGTGTGCAATGTTTGTGCTGCCCGTGCTGCGTGTCGTGTGTCAATGCGTGTCGTGCACTGTTGACAGACAGCACGTTGCCCGTGTCAAGCTGCGTTTCTAATTTCTACGCGACAATACGCGTACCCCGCACGCAGTTACGGTACCCCACCTTAAAAGACCTCGTCCCGTTGTTACAGTTAACCACAGCGATGCCCTATGCGGCACAATTGCAGGGATCTAGATTAATGGGTCAATTACTAAGAATAAGATTGCACTGCTTATACTACTTCATTATCGGCGCACAATAATACCCGTTACTTTACGGTACTATTATAGAAAGAAGGTTTCCAATCGAGCGAATCAATTTACCTAACCTAACGTGACCTGACACTCGGGAAAAGGAACGTAAATTGAGAAAATTCTGCAAAAATACTGACACAAAAAGTGACTTTACTTCCAAATCATTCAAATTGATTTGATATGTTAATAGCCTTTGGATCCGTGAAACGTTGTTAAACATTAATAAAGCATGCGCCTGACTTGCATTAATTACATTTCTATCTCTGCCACGCCTCGTGGGAATTTGCACTTCGAGCCTCGGAGTTCATAGTGGGGAGGCGACATTTCTTAGAATGTTTGTCAGTTAGAAATACTAGTTTAAGGGAAGGATTGTTCTAATTATGAAATATCATAACAAGTGCCCCACTTACTGACTGCCTCGACGAGGTCGGCGAGTAGCACGCCGTCGCAGAGGTCTGCCTGGAGGTCGGTAACTCTCCTCTTGGAACCGCCACGCTCCAGATAATGATTCGCCCAGTCGGTGTAAATCTAAACAAAAAGAGATATTTCAAGGTTAGCTCGTCGAGACCAATTAAATCAAATTAATTCCGACAGTTACAGCAGTTTTGCATGTCTCCATGTACGGGAGGAAATAATGAGTACTTTATGAATATCCATGTTATACGTGTAAACGTCAAGAAGTAGTTCAATAAACTTCGCTTGAAGTATATATCTGATCTTAAACATTCAGAGGTGTTGCAATTGCTACTCAATTGTGGCAACAAGCGTACCATATTGATAAGAGATAATTGCCCCAATATTAATATCATGGTCGGTTAAGCATTTCTTTTATAATAAATTGGAGTCGTATGTATATATAAACTGCGATCAGTACAAATTCAATCGAAATTTATATATGTATATGTCATTTAACGTAATAGAAATGATATGGCTGGTACTTCAAGTTAATACCGTGTCATTTCTAAATGACGGATGTTAATTATCATTCCTCGAGTTCGTCTCTTTTATATCGCGGGCTGTTAGCGCAAAGTGCGCGATATATTGGCACTTGCGCAATTGGTTTCCAACTTGTGCTCTACGATGGATATATTTGTTAACACCTCGCACCATCGCTTCCAGGTTTCAATGTTCCTTTCGACTGTTATTCATGACCTCGCTTATTCCTCACGACTGTTATTTCCTCGTCGTTGCCGCGAGCGGTGTGATGAATTTTCGCTTCCCTCGCAAGAGGAGTAACTCGGCCGATTCAATGAGCGACAGATCGATTAATAAATTTATAGCGAAGGAAATAAATAAATGAACGAGTCAATAACTGGGTTTTATCTCCACATTTCTAACTACCTGATATATTATCCTCGATTTCATTCTTCCGCCCATCATTCATTGCTTGAGCTATTTTCCCGTCACCGCTAGAGAAACTTTTGACATCCTATCAAGTGAACTACCCATCGGATCCTGATAGGTAATTAAATGAAGAATTGCAGAAATAAACTAAACTGATTTTATGACCAACAACTGGCAGTTTGTTTTCCATTCGTTTTTATAAACTGTCTAATCATCTAGCATTATCGCTCCTACTTTACTTCTGACCATCGCATGAATCAAACCTCCAGGATGTGCTATTTTCTCGTCGTTACCGCAGAAATTTTCGAGAATTCAACAAAAGGAGTAACCATCAACTCCATAAAATTATCGATGATTAGATTAACAAATGTAGAAATACATGAAAATAATATAACGCACGTCAACGTCGGACAGATTGTTTTTTCCATCGTTTTCATTCAATTTCTGACCACCTGGTATTATCGCTCCTACTTTATATGCCTCCTTCGCCCATCAGTCGGACTTGCCGAAAGTGCTATTTTCCCGCCATAACCGAGGGAATTTTCGAGAATTCACGAAAAGGAGTACCTATCAAATCCAGAAATGTATAGATAATTAAATCATCAAACGTGGAAATACATGGAAATAAGATAACGCGCTTGAACACCTAGGAAATTGTTTCTCCTTCGTTTCCGTTAAGTTTCCGATCACCTGGCATTATCTCTCCTACTTTACTTTCCCCTTTCGTCCATCAGTCGGACTTGCGGGAAGTGCTATTTTCCCGTCGTCGCTGCAGGGGATCGTCAGGATTTTCGCCTTCCTCTCCAGAGAAATAAACCTTTGCCGATCTCCGATCACACGTTAACAGGAACCGTTTACTCGAGCGCACGTTCCGCCTCGAGTAAACTGTTCCTGTTAGCGATTATTATTTCCCAGGCGTCCCCCTTAATAACGTTTACGTTTCGCTTACGTGCGATCGAGTGGAACGCACCAGATATGCCTTATCGAGGGCGTTTCGCGTTTGCAAAACGCCTTTGCCTTTGAGTTTGCTTTAGCGTCTCGACGCGATTGCCCCGGTTAAAGAAGCATCGGCCATTCACGAGATAAACGCCCTCTCGATCATCCTCTCCCGCTCTTCCTCCCTTATACGGTTATCGAGGCTCTACGAGAGGGAAAATTCAATATCTCATTGCCACCGATCGGGAGCTCCGATCGCCCCGGCGACTGCTTGCCATTTATCCTTTTAATCTACTTTCAATGTTGAATTTGAAATTTACCCGAACCAATTTCGTCTAAACAACTCTTGCATTTTAAAACCGCGAGATACATGCAAATGTAACGTCGAAGGAAATTCATGAAATATTGCAGAAAGAGGGCACTCTTAAAATTAGATTCTTTTCCGTGTCTATGCGCGACCTCGAACTAACAGAAGCATTCGCATTACGATCCTTAAGGGGATGTGAAAGCGGCATCCGAAAGCTCAATTGATCATAAAACTTTTCTACAAACTGGGTGTCTCAAATCGTTTCATACTTTAAAACGGGAATATGGAGACCCTGAAACTCGCGAAATTTCGTTTTTTTAATACTATTTTTAAAATACCTATAAACAAATTTGAAAAGAATTGAAATTTCATGAGTTTCAGGACCTTCCTTATAACCTCCCTATTCACCTTGTAAAGTTTCAAATTATTCGGTAAACCGAATTGAGAGAAAAGTTTTATAAACAAAACCTCTTCGACGCCACTTTCACATCACCTTAACTGGACCAACAAAGGGTTAGGTCATATTACGCAGTACCGATTAATCATCCAGCAATCGCAACCGTCTAGATATGGTTCAGCGAAATTCGCTGTAATAAGTTTCCGAGTAAATGTAGCATTGTCTCTTCCATCGACTAGTTTGCTCGTCTTTTCTCCGAATTAATCTTTTTTTCTTTTTTTCGAGGAGGGTCCTGTCCAAGCTTTGAGCACTTTGGGAATTCCTCCTGCCTTTCTCGTCCTCTCTCTCTTTTCCATTCCATTCCTCTTATCTCTCCTGGACATTGTCACCAGTCGGGTCCTTCTGGACTTTCTCTCTGTTTTTCTTCCTCGTTGCACCGAACGTACGCGTCCATCACTGTCCATCTCGAAGGACAGGGAATGCCGGAATGTCGGGGACGAGAGGAACCAAGATAAATCGAGGAGGAAATGCACGAGTGGGAGTCGTAGATGGAGGTAATTAATAATCGAACTAAATTCCTGGCGAGTATTGTCCACCGGAATGTCCTCTCATTCTTGACTTTCCTGTTCCAGTGCCCAAAGTCTAGCAATGAAAAACCCTACACTTAACACAAGACAAGAAATCAAACCATTTTTTATTAATTACTCCACGTCTATAAACAAGATCTCGATATTCAGTAGTTACCTTTTTAATTATCATCTATCTTACTCTGCTATTATCTCAAAAAGTCGAGGAAAGAAAACCTCAAAAAGAGTATAAAAAAAAAATTGAATAAGTCTATAAATAGCGTCCCCGCGATAGACCCACGTGGCAATAACCGAAGCAAGGCAGCTTATTGCATTGTTGCAGTCTTCCGCCAAGTGCATCGACCACGGAAGGCGAATCCCGAGTGTTTATTGTGCCAAGAGAGGAAGCAATATTTTCCGGAGAAAGAGACGGCGTATCGAAATAAAGACAGACTTTTTAGGATTAGCTCCTGTGAGAGAGAGCCAGAGAAAAGAGCGAGGGACGAGGACGAATGGCGGGGCGGCTCCAGGGGAAAGAGCGGAGGAGATTTAGTCACCGTCGACCGAGTGCGGGGATGCGTCTCACCTATATACCTACGCATCCTCGCGTGAGCCTCTGCGAGTATCTACGCACCCTTACGCATACGCGTGCACTCGCGAGAGCGACAGACAGACGCACTCTCGAGAGGGACTATTTTTGTGCGTCCAAAGAGAGAACCAAGATGACTTCCTTCATAATTTCGGGTCACCACTGCTCGCTCCTAATTCCTATTATTCTAGCCGACCGTTGCCCGGCGTTCTGCCTCTGGCAGCTGGTATTTTCTAAATCCAGAATATTCGATTTCGAGATCGAATGGGAAATGGACGGATGTTGTGTTCCAAGAGACGAGAACATAATGGCTTGGAGAACGAAAATGATGGTGCCGATAATGGACGCTTTTAAAAGCAACTTTTCGTTCCTCAAATAGGCCTCCAATTTTCTTATGTCTCGCACAGCTACTCGGAAGCGAAAGTGTTGGAAACAGAGAAGTTAATTGGAGGTTTTAAAAAGATCCCAGCAGGGCCCCTGCACGTTGGAAGTGAATTTTCCAAGTTAAAGAGAATTATTAGATGTTATCAATTGTTCTTGATTATTCTTTCACGGAATGCTCTCTCGCGTTCGGTATTGCTTGTTTTGAGCAGAATTAATTTTATTTTCTGTTTTTAGTTCACTATAAGCATTAATAATTAACCGAGATAATAACGCGGTAACACTAGCAAACTTACGCTAAAGAAGTATCACTTAAAAAATGGGTACTCGGGTAATTAGGGTACCTGGACGATGTTGCGCGTGCAGTCCGCCTTAATGTCGTCGCTGGAGCCCCGAACGGATCTCGGTGCCCTGATACAGGCCATCTCAAAATCGCAGCCGAAACTCAAGGTTGCGGTACCAGTGCCGCACAAAGACGCCTTCGGACCGGTTGCAACCGTCATGGACCGGCACGGACCGACACGAACGTGCCTTCCGTTAGCGGCGAACGTGACCGCAGGATTCGCTGCGACTCGCCCGACGAATCGTCAGGATCGAAGGCTTCGATCGCGATCGGCGTGGGCAAAAGTCGCGAAGATCGCGAGATCGCGCCCCTCCGTGTGTAAATCTCACGACACCTCGACGCTTCCGGTCGAGGTATTCAGAGTTTTGGCGAAGAGGAGTCACGAGTGAGACCAGCTTCCGTTTCCTCCCGATTTCCCTTTCGACTCCGCTTCTTCTTCGGCTCTCGCGACTTTCGTTATCCGCCGAAGACACGTGGGTGCGATAAAGTCTCGGATGTCCCGGACATTTCCTCTTCCCTCCCACGTGCGGTGCACCGCCTTCGCCCGTTTACTCCTCCTCGGAATATCCGCCAAAAGCGCGTCTCACTCGCGCGCGTCTTCCTCCAATTGACAACCGACACATCCCCTCGACTCGCGGCATCTGGTCCCTGGAACCTCCTCCAGG